GTCTAAGATGTCTTGCGAGACAGTGGGGTTGCATTTCTTGACTGCCTCCAGGTTGAAGTTGTTGATGAAACTGAGCTGCATAATTATACGGCCCCGGGCTGGGCTGAGGGCCCCAGGCCGGGCTGAGGGCCCCACGCCGGGCTGAGGGCCCCACGCCGGGCTGAGGGCCCCAGGCCGGGCTGAGGGCCCCAGGCCGGGCTGAGGGCTCTAGGCCGGGCTGAGAGCACCGAGGCTTTCTGGAGATTTGGAATGGTGGAAACAGGTTGACTTATGCCATGAGTGGGACTCGACTGCTCTAGTGTACTAGGGAAGAGACTAAGGAGAGGCTGAGGGAGACATCTGAGGGAGACATCTGAGGGTAGATTGTGCGACGCGTGCACCATGGAGTTGAGTCGGGGCGTCGGAAGTCTGGAGGTGCGTCATTCATCGAACCCGGCCATGGCAGATAATGGTTCTTCGTCTTTTGAAGAAATGACGAAAGAGGATTTGGTTAAGGCGGCGGATAATGGTAAGGAGGAGCAGTGGAACGTGTTAGAAGGCGGAAGCACGGCGGAGAGTAGTTTTAAGACCACCGAGGACCTGAACAATTGGTTAATAGGAGGGAACAATGACCCTCTGATTGAGCAGAACCGAGATGACGTGGAGCAGCTTGTGAAGGCGATTCTGTCGACGGAAGGCGAATCTCCGTATCACGACCGGGATTACTCCCTTTACTATCAGTCATATGGCAATCATCCGTCACCAACTGGGAGCGACTTGGGCACTGCCCTTGGTGGCAAACATTTGTCTTGTTCAAACGCTAACGGTGGCGGGGCTTGGCATGCTTCCAGACCTCTTCTCTTTCCCAATGTAGTAGAACTGACTCGGCCAATGGATGCATCAGGACTAATGGAACTGCCCGGGTCTCGTCAGAGCTCGGCCTCCCGGGGCCCTGGTCCTCGAGTCCCTGGCTCTCGAGCCATTGGCGCTCGAGCCCCTGGTCCTCGAATCCCTGGTCCTCGAGTGGAAAATGAGCACTTTGGACGTGGTGGAGCGGGTTACGCAAGAGGAGAATACCACCATCAGCGAAATGAGTACCATCAGCGGAATGAGTACCATCAGCGGAACGAGTACCAGCATAGGAGTGGGTACCAGCATAGGAATGAGTGCCAGCACCGGAATGAGCATCGGAATGAGTATCAGTACCCATTGGTTCGCGGATCGATTCCGAATTCCAACCGTTTTGAAATATTTTTGTACGAGCTGCGGAGGTTCCTGGACGTTGCAGCTGAAATTTTGAATTCTTCGAGCTCTGGAAGCCTTTTCGCGCTCAACGCAATTCAGAAACACGCATTTCCAACAATCAATAGATGGCGCAACGTGGATCTGGATTTACCCGTCGTCATCCCCCGAGGTACATTACGCGTTGAGTATGAGGAAGAAGAGTCATTACTATGCGCAAGTTCGGCATCGGCGAGAGTAGATTATGTGTTCCAGAATGAAGACCGAGGTTTAAGATATGTTGGAGAGCGCGAGAAGATCTTGGGTATGTTTTCAAGTGAGGTGTTAGGGATGGAGGCAGTGAAGGTAAATAGCAATTTGTTGTGCACTCGATTGGCTGTATTGCACAAGTGTCCAGATTTTTTGTTGCCAATTGTTGCCAAGGCATTGCTCGTAAGTGCAGTGTCTTGCGAGCCGGTACTGGACCAGCCGATCAAGCTATTGTGCACAAAGGTGTCAAGATGTTCTGTGTCGCAGAAGGCACCAATGGCGGAAGAATATAAGTGGTGTGAACGAGTGGAGGCTTTGATGGAGCCTGCATCTCAAGTGGATGAAACCAGGTTATCGCAATTGAGTCAGGCACTTTCTGGCTTCGCATATCTCGTCAATGAGCCTATTCGGTCCATGGTGCGCACTTGGTATAGCCAGGTCTGCGAAATTAGCCCTTTGGCCAAGGCAATTCCCGTTGAGCTGTTCAACCCCGAAGATGAGAGCCTGGGCCTCTCCTTCAGGTGGGCCCCCTCCAAACAAATGAAGGTCCTCCTGGCCTTCAGGTACACCGCTTGGTCCTCCTCACTCTTCAGCAAACGCATAGACTCACCGGGATTCCAAGCCAGCGAAGTCCGCCTCGAGCACGAACGACGAAATGATAAACAATGGGACCCCACGCTCCTACAAATTGGTCGCAAAGTACCTTGCAAGAAACTACTCCAGACACCAGAAGGCCAAGACGCACGCGTCGTCCTCTGCGATCCCAAGGAAATCGCTCTCCCCGACGTCCAAATCCTGAACGTCTCCAGAGACGATTACCCAACCGGCCACCCCACCGACCAGGGAAACGACCACCCAACCGACCGGGGAAGCGACCACCCAGCCGACCGGGGAAACGACCACCCAGCCGACCGGGGAAACGACCACCCAGCAAATGATTTGTCTGATAAGCCAGCAACGGGCCCACTAATAGTTGGGACACCAGTCACAAGCACTCTGCCCACTCATGAGAACAGCCGTCAGGAATTGGTTGACAAGAAGCTCGTGGACGAGGAACCAGACGATAAGCAAACCGCTGCCAAGCAATCTGCTGCCAAGCAATCTGCCGAAGCCTGACAAAGCTAACGGACGGAACACCGGCGAGACACTACTAAGGTGAGACACTACCTAGGTGAGACACTACCTAGGTGAAACGGCACTTAAGTGGAATGCCACAAAGGTGAAACGTTATTCATCCATGAATGTAACAAGTGCGCTCAAGCCAACGGAGTTGCCCCGGCAAGACACGGTGGCCGGTCTACAGAGGGCGCCACTGTGACCACTGGTTGCGGGACGTATGCATTTGTAAAACCTCGATCAATATGTCTCCTGCGAGGACTCTCAGCTACGAAACGCCCGTCAGACTGCGCTGGGGTGCTAGCCGCCTTCGGAGAGACTGCTTTTGGCTGTGGAGAAATCGCCCTGGGAGAGTGCAGCTGAAGGGGATCCTGAGGTAGGTGATCTTGAATTTTTTCACACGCGCCAACTTCTAAGGCCTTCGGTGTCTCGTGATCATTCCTCTCGTGATCATTCCTCTCGTGCTCATTCCTCTCGTGATCATTCCTCTCGTGATCATTCCTCTCGTGATCATTCCCCAAACCCCCCTCTGCCACATTCCCCTCTCCCGCGTCCCCATCTTCTGCGTCACCAAGCACAGCCTCACCCCTGGCTTCATCCGCGTGTATGTCCTTGGGCTTCACTTCACCGCCCCTCTTCGCTTCGCCGTCCCCCTTCACTTCGGGCCGTAACGGGGGTCGCGCACCAGCGGCAGTTTCCGAAATAGTAGCCTTGCGGCTTCGCGGGTTCGGACGTGCTTTGGCCAAGGTCGACGGTGGCACACCCTGCGCCGCCGCACGACCCAGCGTGAAATCCGGCGATAGAGAGCAAAAGGCCGGACGGCCCCATGTGGTCGTGGAGGTCGCCCTGCCGCGGGTGGCCTTCTCGTTGTCTTGTCCTTCCCCGTCTGCCTGCCGGCATTCTCCCTGACTCGCCAGGCCCTTGTGGCTCCCCACGTCCTTGTGGCTCCCCACGTCCTTGTGGCTCCCCACGTCCTTGTGGCTCCCCACGTCCTTGTGGCTCGTCTGGCATCCTCTTGTCTCCTGGTTTTTTATCGGTTTCGAGTGGAAGGCGTCCGCTGCGGTCGAAGCAGCGCTGGTTGTGCTGCCCGCCAAGACAGGAACGGCTGCCAGCCAGTCTGCGGTTTCTTCCGGGTCTCTCGGTCTGGGTTCTGGAGTATCTGTCAAGCGGTCGATGAACGCTTGAACCGCCTTTTCTGACTCCTCTTCCAACCACGACTTCCAGATCGCCGACAACTCATCCAATCCAGGCGACGCCATCTCGGCACGACCACCCATCTTGCCTTGACCAGGACTAGGCCGGGTAGGTCTGTGTTGAGCAGGACTGATTCGAGCAGGACTGATTCGAGCAGGACTAGACGGAGTAGGGGTGGAAAAATATGAGCCGCGTCGATCCCGTCGCCTGAGTACCTTGTTATGAGATTCATCATAGGTCTCCATCGACATTCGTCTCTGATTCGGTGGTGGCGGCGGCGGCTGACGTCGCCGGTGAATGTTCCTAGATCTCGATTCGTCTGACAGTAGTTCCCTTGACCACAGTTCTGCGGACCATTGCTCAATAGACGAGAGATCTGTTGAGCGTGGATCATTGACGTTATCTGTTGGATTCAAAAGGTGGGGCAGAGGGAGCTGTCGACGGTTTTGAGGACGACTGTTTCCTGCTGGAACACGAGCGTTGATTGGTTCCTCCGATAATGTATCCGGACAAGGGCTGTCGGCGTGTGCGATAAATGGGTGCCGTTTTTTTTGGGTCCTATCTGGAGTGAGAGCCTGGGTCAGACCAGCTGCACTAGTCCTTAGCCCAGTCTCCGTTCGGACCACATATTTTCGTTTCCGCTCTTCGGTAGACCGAGTATCCGTGAATAGAGTACCACTGGATGGGCTCCTATCACTGCAATTCCTATCAGTGGTTTTCCTCCTATGCGTTTCTATTCGAACACACACTGGTTCGAATGAAATATTAAGCACTTGACATCTCCTCTTCACTCTTCGCTTTCGCCATCTCCTCTTTTTCAACCTCTCTACGAACTCATGTGATCTCTCAGATAGCGTGGAAAGAATCACATCCATTTAATGTGTCTTGAACAAACGAAAAACATCTTACTTATGATCAATTATCTTTCTTCCTACCAATTTATGTCGAATAAACCAAACAAACAAGATTACCCCAATTAAAATAATTATACCTCCAACAGAACCCAGAAGTATAGGTAATAAAGGCAGATCATGAGTCAACGATACTGGCACTATAAAAGAGATATAATCATGTATAATAGTGAATCATATAATCATAATAGTGAATCATATAATCATAATAGCGAACTATAATAGTGCATAATAGTGAACTATAATAGTGCACAACAGGGCTTACTTGGGTCTCCAGATAAATCGCAAAAGGCTAATGCGGTTATAAAGTGCCCTGAATCATGCAGAACAACTTTAGTAGAGTGCTCTTCAGTAAAAACATAGCACATGAATTTATTTGGATCATAGAACCATTGTACACAATTATCTTGATTACAGCATAGGTCAAGACAGTCCTGAGTTTGATATAGCGTAGTTGTATTCGCATATTGGAAGTCTACGGTTTGTAGAGCGTTTAATGAAGCTGTGGTACATGTAGCATATAATCTGGATTCCCCTTGGCTACGTGGAATAACATTCGTAAATGAGCCTAGTATGCTATCCATATCGGGTACGGTTTTGTTTTTAAGCCCGGTTACCATGTATACAACAGAGTCTCTGCGGAAGTCTAAGATCTCTGAGGCAAGAGCACACACCTTAGTCCTGGTGTTATAAGAATAGCCTTCACAGTCCTCATCTTCACATTGGGCTTCGCAATCTCGTACGGTCGGACAATTAACAATGATGTTGCCTTTTCCCTTTTTAAGCTTCCCCCGAATGGTCACACCATGCATTCGTCCATTGCTGGCAAACGGATAACCCCACTTCTGCATCAGAGACGTCGTACTCGTTGCAGCAATCGGGTCAATAACACCGAGGTTAGCACACACCGGTAACCTCACTACCGACAGCACAAAAGGCCACGAATTATCAGGGGTAGGCGATACTGTGCTAAACGTATAACAACTATCAGATCTCACGATCTCAACTACATCTCCTTCAATCACCTTGCTCATGTACGCAAATCCGGGAATGGCAATTTCACTGTGCTGTACTCCTTCGCACTCTCCGTCATCCCTACAAGCTTCCACACATTGATCGAACGTCACATTGGCTATGGTCCTTTTTATTATACTGCCTGCATCGTAATTACGACTCACATACAACGTACCTGGTCTCAAACAACCAGTAGCCTCTAAAGACAACTCCAATGTCGGCTTCACCCCATAACCCAACTGATCCAGCATCTCCCTGTAATACACCCCGAAGTAATCGGAGAATGCCCGACTCACATTGTCCTTGTTACCCACCAGACGACGGCCCCCACTGATTGCCAAAGATTTCTCATCGTCAACATGAATTGGAGACACCAAGGCTGTCTTCATGTAGCACCCACCCAAGTACCCCGGGTCGTAATCTCCCTCCAATCGAATGCTTCGGAGACGACCCCCCATCCAACGGCGACCCCCGAATGAGGGACTATTTGTCGACGGACCACTGGATTCCTGGTCAATAAATTCCTGGTCACTGGATTCCTGGTCAATAAATTCCTGGTCAATAAATTCCTGGTCACTGAATTCCTGGTCACTGGATGGCACGTGGGCTTCTGCCCCAGTGAGCAGTGGCATTATCGGAATAGTCAAATTGTCGGTATCGAAGCTCTCTAGTTGGTACCGTCCACCCAATATCTTAACAGGTGGAACAAGTCTAGTGAGAGGATACTTGAACGTCCATGCTCTACAATGAGGATTCCTCACACACGCGATTGCACAGTATCGCCAATCCGAATAACCCGAGTGATATCCATAAGATACAGTGCCAACAACACCTCCCTGTAATAAAGGTTGGAATTCGAGTTGTAGTCCAAGACCTAGCTCCCGGGCTGCAGCCACGTGCGCACGCTTCACAGACTCCTCAGACCTCTCGTAGCCTCTGTATGCAGGAAGAAAATCACCACCACTCGTTGTCACGGGCTTCACGAGTGCAGTATAATTACCGAACGCGTCATCAGTGTACACCACCGTCGAATCTTCCAGTGCCCGCAACTCCGCCTCCCGACCCTGACTCGTATACTGTTCCCGTAAACAGTCAAAACTAGTCTTCATCTAACATACGGTCACACCATCAATTAAAACGACGGAGATTTTAACACGCATTTCTGGATAACGCAGTTCAGGATAACGCAGTTCAGGATAACGCAGTTCAGTGGACAATGGACAATGGCACGAAAGTGGTCTCGACTCACAGTCGCTTACTTGGTGACTCCTCGATAGTCCATCACACCTTCGCATTCCGGCCCTCACAAACGAATAACGGACCTGCTTCGGGTCCGTTTCCGACAAAATCTGGCAAACCTTGGTTGCCGAATGGTACCAGTAGGACTCGCACTGTCAAAAGAAGCTGTACAGCTTACCACAAGGGAAACAAGGCTGGGCGGTCGGTCCGGTGTTCCGACTGGTCGGTCCGGTGTTCCGACTGGTCGGTCCGGTGTTCCGACTGGTCGGTCCGGTGTTCCGACTGGTCGGTCGGGTGTTCCGACTGGTCGGTCGGGTGTTCCGTCTGGTCGGTCGGGTGTTCCCACTGGTCGGTCGGGTGTTCCGACTTGGCCAGCCAGGTGTTCTGATCGGACTATGGGTGACTTAGACCTACAATGAAATCTCTGTAGCAATCGCCGTAGTTGTATGCGTCAAGTGGTGGAGCGTTCAACTCGCAAAGCAGCGAGCAAGCCATGATAGACGGGACACCGTAAAAGGTGGCTGTGGGTAGCGACGCGTGAAGGTAAGTATGCTGGATGGCGGGGCATTTAGCTGCAGGCACAACATCTAGTGCTTCCCGGTCGGGTGTTCCGGTTGGTTCCCACGACCGAAGTGCTACCCCAGAAATAAGGTTCTCCCCCGTGGGGGACAAGGTTCCCCATGGTTCCCCATGGTTCCGTCTCACGGGCAGGGTGGTCGTACCGGTGGGTAGAGGCAATTCGGAGGGGAATACGTGGTTTTGCATTTACAAAAATGTTCGCGTTGGTCGACGGACTGATCGAGGCGCATGAACATAGATTGAAGCTGTGGGCGTTCCACGTGTTGCACAAGCAGATGACGTCTACGCGGGATCGTCAGTGGGAAACTTATAGTAAGGAAGCCGAGGCCTACTGGGTATATCGAGGGAAGAAGAGAGAAGCTGAGTTGGTGACGGAGCTCCGCGACCAAGAGGAGCGACTGCAGGTGCTCCAGCGGATCATCCGAAGGGCTTGGGAGCAGACACCGGACGATTACCCAAATTCCGGGGCGCCACTCATTCCTTTCTTGAAAGGACTAAACCTCCTGGATCGGTGCATTCAAATCAGCCAGAGTCGGTCGCTCATGATTGGATTGCAGACGCTCTCAAGAAGCAGCAGGAAACCTCCAAATACGGTCGGGTACGCGACACACTGCCAGCCCCCTGCACTGCGTGATCGACCCCACGCACAACTCCACCAGACGGACTCACCCAAGCTCAGACACAAACGAGTTCGGACACACACGAGTTCGGACACAAACGAGTTCGGACACACACGAGTTCGGATCTAAGTTGATCGTCAAAAACGACGTGTCAGCTGCGTACATGGTTGGGTCTATTTTAGGGCAGCTCGTTTATTGTTTGGCGCACTGAAAAGAGTTTTTGAACCTGAAGAACGACGATGCTTACGAGTTCTTACTGCGCTGCCTGGCCGACTTACTGAGGGTACGGAGAGCCAGTCGACGGGCAGCCAGAGCGGTGGAGACCCTGTTCTTAGTGTGTGGAGTGATCATGTAGCGGCTTCTTTGCCTCCTGGCAGGTATGGAGATACTTTGTACAACGATGATGGTCATAAGCAGAAAGGCACAAATAACAAGGACCCCAATCCTAGCGGTACACATCCTAACGGCGCAACTCTCAAGGGTCCAAGTCATGGTCGCAACGGGCGGACCCTTCACGGATCGCTCAGGAGTCCTGTTGAGTTGAGGGGCCTTGTAGACGTGAGGTCCCCTGCAGAGATGAGGACCCCTGTAGATATGATGGCCCCTGTAGAGATGAGGACCCCTCCGAGTCCGGTGCCAGTGCCAGTGCCGAGTGGCCCTGTTAGTTCGGCTGCGGTCCGACCCCACTCTCCGCCTCCAAGGATGGTGGAGTCCGAGTCTGAGTCACGAGCTACGGAGTCTGTTCGAGCGGGTAGTTGGACGGAGGGTGGCGGGTGGTCAGAGAGGACGCTGGACAATCGTTGGTTCGGGGCACAGGGTATGTTGTCCGGCGAAGGTTTGGAGCGCATGCCCATTCGGAGTCCTGATGTTCCGGTGGAAGTGCGTACGTTGAGCTTCGAACTTGGCGGTGAACAAAACGTCTCTGAACGTCGTCCCGAGGTACAACCGGGCCTCGCCGTCCCGCTCCGGGTCTTGGAATTGCGTTCCGGTTTGGCTACACCGCCTCGACAGCAAACACAGACTACCGAACACAAAACACCTCAACGACACATGCCTGAGGTACAGACTCTTGGCGCCTGGTCTAATCCGCAGTGGATGGCCAGTCGCCCCGTTAACCGGATGAGTGAGTCAGCTAGCCCACTCGCTTTGTCTCCGCCGGATATTTACTCCCGAACGGATGGGGTCCGAGCGGATGGTGTCCGAACGGATGGCTTCCGAACGGATGGTGTCCGAACGGATGGCTTCCGAACGGAGGCCTTCTCGCCCCGTGGGTCTCTAAGGAACCCGGAGAGCACGACCCTGCCGCGACCGACGGCGGAACCGCCAACCTCCCTGCGCACGGTCCCCCGTTTCCAACTCGGGGACTCGGCACCCCAAAACGTCCCGACGGCTCCAAACGGTCCCATACTCCAGAACGTCACGGCAGGCGCGCCCTACATGCAATCCAACGCGCTGTTGTTCAACTCGGTGCCGTCGCTCCGGGCGGCGCCCGAGGCTTATTCCCAGGGCCTCAGTTCTGGCTCCGGTCTCGGGTCGGCTCCCAATCTTGGCAATGGGCACAGCCTCGGTACTGATGCCCGTCTTGGTGTTGATGCCCGCCTTGGTACTGGGCCCAGCCTGGTGAGTGCAGGTCCGTGGCGGCTGGGGAGTCCTCCGACGAGTGCCCAGACGCCGTTGGTCGCTCCATGGCGGTCGGTCGGGCGGGCGCCGCCACACGAACGTACCGTGACCGTTATTCCGTGGCGCACCAGCCGCTCGATCAGTCCGAGTCCTCGCCAACCCGCGTTTGCCTTGCCCCGGAGTGGCAGTGGCGGTCTTTCGCCGGAAACGCGGCACACCATTGCCATGCGCTTATGACCCTCGCTGTCTTGAACCGCACGGACGCGGGCTTGCAAGACTTCACCTAGACGCAACGCGCCATGAAAAGGTCGCACGCAACGCGCCACAAGGCCAGACCCGGCACAGGGCCCAGGCCAGACGGAAGACTTACACGCATTGAAGGCTACAAACGCCCGGCTGTGCCCGACGGGTGGCTGACCCATACACGGTCCGTTCACACGGTCGGTTCACACGGTCGGTTCACACGGTCGGTTCACACGGTCGGTTCACACGGTCGGAAGCCCAGCCCTGGTCTGTGGAGGCGAGGCGCTTTAGCTGAGTGATTTTGAACTTCGTCCCCGCCTTTTGCGGGATCGGTAGTATCGAGTCAGTCGATATCGCTCCTTCAGCATCGGCTGTGGCCCGAGACTTGGGCGGCCTGAGGTAGGCCGCGGGGGAGACAGGCGAAAGCGGGTCTCCGACTTCACGTCGCTTCGGCCGGGACGTCCCAGCGACGGCAACCGCCAGGGAGGAGGCGAGTAATGGAAATCAGAAGCAGCTTCAAGTACTCAAGGAGGAGGCGCTTAAGGAGCCAGCACTCAGTAACGAGACAGCACCCTGTGACGAGGCAGCACCTGGTAGCGAGACAGCACCCAGCACAGGAAAACAGCGCCCAGTAACAAGAAGGCGCCGCCCAGTAACAAGTCAGCAGCTGCTAATGAGACAGCACCTAGGAAACCGCTGTCAACAAGAAGGCAGCGTCTGAACAGCAGACAGCACCCGAAATGGATACCTTAGGAGGTGCTACAGAAGGGATGGCCCCTCCCTGGCCGCGGCTTCGTCGTGGGCCCGGGTATTTTTTGAGGACGTTCTTCTCCTCGGGAGATGAAGATCAGGAATTTTGGGTCGGCTGCCTGGCAGGCAAGCGGAGTACTTACCGTGCAGGCAAACCTACCCATTTATCCTGCCAAGTCTTAACGACGGCCATTCATTCTGTGGTCAGCATGATTTGAGTTGGTGGGGCGTTTTTTTTATGAAGTCGTCACAGCTTGAGACGAATCAGATCAACTGAAACGGATTGGTTGGTTGAATTAGCCCTAATGAGTCAGCCATTTCGGATAGAAGACCGGATGCAACGCAGTCCAATATTTCATGAACTTGAGGTAGCTGGAAAAGAGGAGACTTATGGGCGGGGGGTGAGGGGCTTAGAAGGGGAATAAGGGGTGCGCACTTCTTCCAGAAAGGAAATGAAATGGGTGGGTCGCCCGGACTGTTAGGGAGCATGTCGTGCTCTGGCACGTTGTTTTCAATTTGTCCGAAGGAGTAGTGCAGCACCTGGCCCCGAATGAGTCTTTGTATTGCAGCTTGTAGACTCCTGCGGTTGAAGACGCAAACACCAGCAATGGCAACGGAAGCAATGAGACGCGGGTTCGCGTGCTGCAAGACCTTGGACTCCGTAACATAGTTAGAGCCTAGTTGTTCGTGCAAGGTGGTCCACGACATTAGAACACAATGGTCTATTAGAGGAATGTACTTGAGATAATGGTAGAAGATATTTAATGAATCATAATGCTCCACTTCATCTCCAACGGAATAGTTAACACTGTTAGAGTACTGACTACTGTTGGGGTACTGACTACTGTTGGGACACTGACTACTCGGGAATCCAGGAAGGAGTAGCGCACTGCAATTCCAGAGACGCTGAGCCAGTATGTCTCTTATACGTCCAATCACGAATTGAACAGAATAGTCTTGATTCCTGTCGATCTCCTGAAGAAGCTGGTTTCGTAAATATGAGTACAACATCTCTCTGCTCAGATCGGCTTGGTCGACTGCGTCCTTTGACGGCTTCAGCGTTTGTGACACCGCTGTGGATTTTCCCCTCGGTGCCGTTCTAGAGGTCGCTCTACTTTTCTGATTGTCAGCAGCTTTCGATCGATTGCCCCCGCAATTAAGACTTTGTTGGCGGTCATGAAGACGGTCATGGTACTCTTCCAAGACGGATGTGAAAGCAATAATTTCGTCCTGGTTTAGGCAGTTTTTAAGAACGTGTTTTTCGTCTCCCATTCGACTTCGAATTTTATGTCCAATTTGATCCAACAGGAAAGGGGAACTAAGAAAGATAAGGATGGACACAGAGATTCCTGGGGTGTGTTGTAAATCCACTAATCTGTAGAGTAAACTTTGTTCCTCATTCTCGTAGAACAACACATCCTCTAATGTTACAGGAACACTAATAATGATACCCCGTCCTTTCAGATTAGCTGCTGCACCGATCTTTCCCACCTCTCGTTTCAAATCCGGCGCGGTCTTGCAATTGGCCAAGTCATGAACATCGCCGACACCAAGCTGCACTATAGATTCTAAACAATGCTGGTAGACCAGCGTTCTAAATATCCAACTCATTGAGTCAACAATAACACAACATGTAAATGATTCCTGGCGACGTAACCGTTTGGCTAATGACGACTCCGTCGTCCGTAATGCATCCACCAACCTACACCGGTATCGGTCGCTGAATACGAGCAAAGGAGCTCGACTCAGAGCGGCTAGCACCGTGGTCGTCATGACAAGAAAAAAACCAGCCTTTAATCAATCTTACTCGATTAATTGGACTGGAGTGGAACCCGAGCCACCTCCAGCAAAGCTAAACTATACCTGCCAGCGAAATCGTAGATTGCCTGGGCACACGAATTTAGATCCAACCGTGTGCCCAAATAATTTTCTTCCATGCGACGAGTCGCACTAACTGGATACCACCATTCTGAGTTGTCGCCCTCGGTTCTCTCGATCCCTCCGGTGGCAGCCTCGGTCTTTCAGGCACGAAACTGTACTGCAGCATTGACGGTCCTTCGGGTCCTGAGCGGTTTCAAGGGTTGCAAGAGCCCGACTGCCTGGCGACGTCCCGCCCGGCTAAGATCTGTCTTATCTTCAGTAACGAGTTTTGAACCCCCGTTTTGTGGATCATCTTATAGTACGACAATTGGTGTGTCGCTCGCGTCCGTAGCAGAGTCTTTAACCTTGTCTGCAATCATGTGTGTAACACGGTCTTAGTCTGCTAGGTCAAAAACAACCAGTCAACCCAATAGTTATTTCCTCCTGCTTTTCAGTGATGAGTGTGGTGTCGCTAAGGGAAGCACGATACGCTATCAACATGCATGTTTGGAGAAGTCCTGGAACCGATCATTTGACCGAACTGCGGTGACCTGTTTTACTCAGAGTGAAGACAACGGAGGATGGTCTCGACGAGGCCCGGAGAAGATTGAACCAGTCGCGAATACGGTCTGGGAACTGTAGCCTGGGCTCCATACCGGTTGTCTTGCTCTCACTAAGTCTGCCGGTTGTCCTGCTCCGTATTTCCTGTTTCCGCCCTTCGTTCTCTTCCGCGGCCAAATGATTATATTCGTACGGTCCGCCCGGTCAATAGGAGATGGTCTTCTCCGTTCGTGGCATGTCGTGTGTTCAGTCAGATGTTCACCGTCTCAGACCGTGCATGGCACTCGGAGGTCGCCAAGATCGATGCTTTCGGTAGAGAAGAATTAATTATACGGGCGATGGAAGGTTGAACGTGTTCGTTCGACTCGACAAAGCTCACTCAAGGATCTACTACCGTTGGTGCCGGAGGGATGGGAAGAGCCGATGTGAAGGTCCATTCCGACTCGCTACCCATGCTTCGCTGCCCATGCTTCGCTACCATGTTTGATACATCAAGTTTATGTGGGACGGACCCGATGTACATATCACCTTCCATGTAGCGTCTTTCTTTATCAGAACGTTTTGTTGATATAATTATGTGGCTCGTGCAGTTTCATTCGCCTTGTTTGGTTCATTGGCTCGGTTCGGATGGTACGCTCACGACAGGTAACTTTGTCGCGGAAGTCCCATACAACCGTGAATGCTTCTCTGACCTGCTACTTAGAATAATGCTTCTGCTACTTGGAATCTTGTTTCGAAAACGCGTGTGCAGCAAACGCGTGTGCAGCAAACGGGTGTGCAGCAAATGGGTGTGAAGCGACTCATTATTTTTATGGAATGGAGACATGCGCCAATTACTCACTGAGATACAACGATATTCATAGCTAGTGATGAGTTTCGGAGTTGCCGTCAAGAAATAATGGATGGTGCTGCAGAAAAATCCGTTGGTCGAGGAAGAATTGAAGATTTAGTGGCCAAGAAGTGATGGCGAATTTTTGTTGTCCCTCGGGCACGCGATTGAGAAAACTATGTAAGATATGAAAGAACAGGATTGGACGAATCTGGCGTTTGGTTATATGAAGACAGATTACAATGTGAGAATTTATTACCGTAACGGCGAGTGGGGCGAAACAGAAGTGTGCAGCGAAGAAACGATTCCAATGCACATGGCGGCCACTTGTCTGCACTACGGCCAGGAAGCGTTTGAAGGTCTGAAGGCCTTTCGTGGGAAAGACTTGAGAGTGCGTGTTTTCCGCTTGGAAGAGAATGCATTGCGTTTACAGTCTACGTGCCGAGGTATTTTGATGCCGGAGTTGTCCACAGAGCGTTTTCGTGAAGCGGTGCTGAAGGCGGTGAAGTTGAACGAACGGTTTATTCCGCCGTATGAGTCAGGGGCGTCCCTCTACATTCGTCCATTGTTGGTCGGTACGGGCGCACAAGTGGGTGTGCATCCTGCGAGAGAGTATTTGTTCATAACCTTCGTTACGCCCGTAGGTCCATACTACAAGGGAGGGTTCTCCGCTAACTCCTACGCCATTATCCGGGAATACGATCGTTCCGCACCACTCGGTACGGGCGTCTACAAGGTGGGCGGAAACTACGCAGCCAGTCTACGGGCCAGCAAGAAAGCACACGATTTGGGCTATGCGAGTGAGTTCTACTTGGATGCGAAAGAAAAAAAATACATCGACGAATGTGGCGCCGCCAACTTCTTCGGCATCAAAGACAACACCTATATCACCCCGCTTTCCGCCTCCATCTTGCCCTCTATCACCAACAAGAGTTTGATGCAATTGGCCCAAGATATGGGCATGAAGGTGGAGCGCCGTCCTGTCCCCAAAGAGGAACTCCAGACTTTCGAAGAGGCCGGAGCTTGCGGCACAGCCGCCGTAATCAGCCCCATCGAACGCATTGATGACCTGGAGAAGGGCACGTCCTACGTCATAGCCAAAGACGGCAAGCCGGGACCTGTCTGTACGAAGCTTTATAACATGTTGCGTGCCATCCAGTACGGCGACGAACCGGACAAACATGGCTGGGTGACGATCGTCAATTAACACTTCCTCTCGTGCCTTACATCTAAATGAGGAACGGAAAATTAGCCAAGTTTGCCCACGTGGATATGCGACTCAATTGGTGTATTTGATCGTTCCATTCGGAGTCCTTGCAGGTCGGTTGAGGAGCCATTCGCTAGCACGTAAAACCTTTTTTGGTGGCTCAACTGCACCCCGACGCAATTGACTCGCTTGCCTGGCGTAACCAGGCATTACGCTCCACTACTTCTCCCGGTAACACTCACCCCTATAGCATTCCGTCACTGCTTCTTGTAGCATTACAGTAAGTTGCTGTGCAATCCTAAAGGTCTCGTTTGAGGCATATGCTCAAGCCCGGGGGTCGGTTTCAAGGACTAAGGTTAAGGACACACAGCAAGCTCCTCTTAACCTACAACATTCCTGCCGCCACCACTTGGTGAGGCCCGTCTGAGGTTACAAGTGTCGGGAAGGTATCCAGACTTGATGACGGTCTGTTGCGCACGAGTGTCACTTCCGAGGAGTATGTTATGTCTGGCCCGTCAGTGCTCGCGATTTGCTTTTTTAAGATCGATGAGGACAGTGTTGGGTGTGAACGCGAGTAAGATACAAAGTTTGTTGGCTGCTCTTCTAACATGCGAGGGGTTCCAACCGGACTTGGGTGAGGACACGGGCGCCCGATTAGTGATCGTTGGTGTGGAAGGAATGGACCGCACTCACGCTGTTGTACTAGCTCGTGAGGCTTACCTTGAAAAGCTGGACGCCCAGGTGAAGGACGCCCAGGTGAAGGACCTGGATATTTCTTCTAAGGCGGGCTCGCGAAAGTTCGACTTGTGCAAAGATTGCAGAAGATTTAGGCTGTTCAACACCCCGGGCGCGCCTGCTCCGTACACCGAGGCTGTCCTGTACAATAACATCGTGGAGTTTTTGAAGAGTGTGGAAGCCGGTGCAAAAGAGACCGTGGATGAATCGGAGACTGTGGATAGATGGGAGACCGCAAAGGTTTGGGAGGATGCTTTCGGTAGAGACGAATCCCAGTTAATTGCTCAGGATACAGGTGATGACTCATTGGAAGTGTTTGCGTCTTCAAAGCTGTCAGAAAATACAATGAAGGCTTTACTACCGTTAGTGCCAGAAGGATGGGAAGACGCGTTGCGAAGATCGGTCGTCAATACCGACCGCTTCGACATGGAAGCCATGCGTGTGGCCCACAGAAGACGCTTGATCCGGGAGGCACTGACGTTAGCGGTCAGCGGCTTAGTGACTGGAGGCCTGCTGTTGACGGGGTTCTTGTGGTATAAAAGTTCTACCACAGCCTCCGCAATTTTGGATAGGCTGGAGACGCCGTGGATGGAATGTGTTCGTCATCAACCGTGCCCCAATAACTTGGTATCTCCCGCGTTACTCACCGAGGATTGCATCGAAAGGTGGGGCGAGGGACGACTCATTTGTGCAGTTGGCAGCGGGAAATCTGGACGGGACTCTTATGTGTGTTACCCTTACGGTATGGGAAACCCGGTTGCACTCACATTCTCGATTCTTAAAAAGGCGATTCTTGTCAAAGGGGGACATGTGGGCTGTGTTCCCGTTTGTCCTGCGGATTTTTGAGTCGTCAGGCGCAGTCTGCCTAAGCAACCTGCGCTGGGCGGTTTTTTCCCCTCCGATTGGAAAATGAACTTCGCCCACAATTAAGATTTCGGCGAGGTCCAAAAATAGCCAATGTGTGCAAACATTGATGATGCCCCCTTCGGGGGGCATCAATCAAAATTGGAACAATACAGAGAAGATTAGCGTAGCCCCTGGACAAGGATGGTCTCGATTGCTAGAAGCACCAAAACTTTTAACAACTCAGCCAGTGATGGCAAGCACACAAATGACCCTCCTGACCACCGATCTGAACCGGTCAGGCAGAAGGCCAATCAGCCCCCGACAGAGCAAGACGCTATGAGGACCGAAGAAGACTACCATTCCACCGACGGCGATGGAACAGAATACCTCCCACCCACTGTACCAGACGCGAGACCAGAACGCAAGCGCAGAATCACACAGATAACACCGCCAACGATCGGAGAACTAGCAGTGGTGGTGTACGATTTAAAGGAAGAAATCGCGAGACTGAGACAAGACGTAAGGGCCGAGAGGAAACGC